CCCACATTTTAGTCACGATGTGCGAATTTACGTTTAAGACTCGTCCGAAAACCCATATCAGAAAACTGAGAACAGGACATTCGACAGTTAATCTGCCTTCGCACATGGGTAAAAAAAATTAAAATAAAAAAACGTGGGGCTGTGTGATGAAGGTTGGATACGTTCGTGAAACAGAAAAAAGCAGGACATTACACTTACCTTTCCACTTACTATTTTTTTTCTTACGATAACTCTGTTGTATCATTTGTGTTGACCAACTTTTATTTTGTGTCCCATCGATTTCCAACTTTTATTTTGGTGGGCGGGGACCGCTTTATCGAAGTGCTTCCGGTTCATGCGAAGTGCTTTTTTTTTTTTTTTTTCTTTTGATAGACCAGCGAACGTCACAACCCAAAACAGAAGGCTGCTGCGTTTAAACTGGACTCTGCCGGATTCTGTGTCTTCTTGTTCCTCTTTTAACAACAAAAACCTGATCCAGCTACACTGAAACATGGCGGGTCTGCCCCCCGGAGACCCGCAGCTGGTCTCAATGATCGTCAGTCATCTAAAAACACAGGGTCTCTTCGACCAGTTCAGGAGGGACTGCCTGGCAGACGTTGACACAAAGGTAGCCATCAAAATCATTTTTCTGCACCAAAAACGTAAAACAGCAAGAGTTAGCATGTAAAGTCGATTTAATGTTCAGTCAAGCGTTTTGTGGAAGCAGCTCACTTGTCCTCCCTAGTTTGCCATTTTGTTTCACAGCTTGTCTTTTATTAAAGTGCCTTTTTAAAATAAGAACACGTTATGCTATTTAGCATTTTGTGAGTAGATGTTTGTAAATATTAAAACTTGTTTTGCAGCCAGCTTATCTGAACCTGAAACAAAGAGTGGACAATTTTGTGTCCAATCACCTGTCCAATCACACATGGAGCCCTCATTTGAACAAAAACCAGCTGAGAAACAACATCAGACAGCTTGTCCTGCAGTAAGGATGAAACTTTCTTTACTTCCTGTTTTTTTTTCTTATTATTTTTCTTTAACGAAGCGTGTTTGTAAGCACATTAAAGCCTGTCCCGTCTGTGTCTCGTAGGTCTGGCATGCTGGAGCAGGGAGTGGACAGGATCATCGCCCAGGTTGTGGATCCCAAAATCAACCATATCTTCCGCCCGGAGGTGGAGAGGGTGGTCCGGGAATTTCTGTCACCGGGAAGCTGCTCGGAGGAACCGCCAGTCCCTCCGACTCCAGCAGAAATTAAACTGGACAACAGCGTTCCTGAGCAGGGTACACAACATCTCATGTTTTTTTTTTCTTTTTGTGTCATTAAACCTATGATTGATTTGAATTGTAGTTGTGCAATTTGAATCTGTTCACAGCCTCATCAACTCCGACTCCATCCACGGCCAGAGATGCCATGTCCATCCTGGACACCATTACATCCCTCAACCAGGAGGCCAGTGTCAGGGCCAGCTCGGAGCCTGAAAAAGGAGGTAAAAGCCACGCTCCCGATGAGTCCACGCAGCCGATGGAGGACGATGAGCAGAACATGATTATYGACGAGGACAGCGACCAAGAGGGAAAGCCACCGGAGGAGGCAAACCTGGCGACAGAAGATGTCCGAGCAGCAGAGGTGAAGATGGAGAACACGCAGGAACAGGCGGAGGTGGGAAAAGAGCTGTTCCCGGAGGAGGTTAAGATGGAGGAGGAGAAGGAGTCGGGAGCTCATGAGCACACAGAAGAAAAGTCGGACAAAAATAAAGACGGCGGCAAAGTCTCTGAAGAAAAACCTGATGAGGAGACGATGAAATCCACAAGCCAGGCCAAGGAGAAGGCCAGAGAGAAGATAAAAGAAGGTGATCTGTKTAGACACTTTTAGCACTACTTACATTTTTATGATTTAGTTGTTTGATSAGACACTGAACTAGAGGGGGAAACATTGGGCCTGTCGCAATAAACAATAAATCAATTAATCGTATGATGAATTAAATTGAGGAAGATGAATTTWAATGAAGACAATAATTTTCCTTTGCCTTATTTTTTGTTCTCTTCACATCTCCCTCTTTTTTATTTCTTAGCATAGAGAAGTGAACTCTGGCGTCAGGTATTTGCCAGGTGTATGGTCACCTAACCTCTGTAGCATGAAAGCCTGTGAACAGGCATTTAGCCAGAGGAGCGTCTTTAGTTTTCTGACGCCTTGGGATTGCCAACAGTTGTTTATTTTTTTCTTTTAACACTATGTAAATTTTAATGTAAACTTCCTTAAAGAGTGGGGTTATATCATTATATTGGTTTAAACTGGTCTCCAACAATATTATCGTTTATCGCAATAATTTCTGAGACAATTTATCATCCAGTAAAATTTGTAATCGTGACAGGCCTAGGAAACATGTAGGCATGATTACCGGTAGTGGCTTAATAAAAAAAATGTGATTTTTATTTGCAGAATATTCCTTGGAGGACTCGGATCTGGAAGGCCTGAGTGACATCACGGTGAGCTCCGTCCACACCAGCGACTTGTCGTCCTTTGAGGAGGAAAGTGACGAGGAGGAGCAGCCGTCTGATTCTTCTGAAGATGGGGAGCTTCCTCCTGATGGTCTCTTGACGGCAGCGACTTTTACTATTTTACCATTTCCACTGAAATTCATATTGGCTTGAAGKTTTTTTGCGAAAGACGAGCCGGATGCTGGAGTGAAACGTTCTCCTGTCTGTGTGCGTCTTGACGCGTTTCCAGATCAAGGTGAAGAAGCAGGGAAGAAACACGGCAGCGTGACCCCGGGAGACGAAGACGTAGAGCGCAAACCTCGCCGAAAGGCTTATGTTCAYAAACCCTTCCTCTACTCGCGGTACTACAGCGACTCGGATGATGAAATCACAGTGGAGGAACGCCGCAGATCTGTGGTGGGTTGACCTTTATTTTTTATTTTTTCAGCTTAAATCTCCTCATAACTTAATTAAAATCTGACAGATAAGCTAATTGTACACTTTTTAACTGTATAAATGGGTGAAATAAATGAATTAAATTGTGTTCTCACAGGCAAAGGACAAAGAGGAAAGGCTGTTGAAGAGGCAACAGAACAGAGAGCGAATGGAAGAGAAGCGCAAACAGAAAGCAGCACAGACTGAAGAACAAGGTTTTTTGACATTGATTTTTTACTGTTTTGCTTCATGATATTTCACCACATTTGTTCCCGTTGTTCCATTTTCTAGCCACATTCTCTTAAATATAAAGTTACAACATCGCTTAACCTGCTAATTACCTGATAACAGATAGCAAAAAACAAAAGAGTGCAGATGCGGCTCCAGTGGAGAGTCCTAAAGCCAAAGAAGCTCGCAAAGAGAGGAAAGTTCTGGAGAAAAAAGTGGCTCTTAGCAGGAAGAGGAAACTAGACTCAAGGTTCTAATCCCTGGACACAAATTCATACAATGGCTTTTTAAAACAAATGTTTCTGTTATGGGCAGAATAAATAAAGTTTAAATGTCCTTTTTCAGAAAACAGGGAGAAGTTTCAAGCAAGAAGAAAGGAGATACAGGAGAGACATCCAAGAAAGTGGTAATTAAAGCCATTAGATATAATATAACCGATTTGGAGCTAGATTTTCTTTTAAAGCGTGTGTTTGTGTTTTAAAACTAGGAGTCGAAGWCTTTGTCCTCTAAGAACCCACAAGCTAAGCTAACAAGAAATCCGTCCGAATCGGGATCTTCTGACGACCGGCACGTCCGAACGAGCGGCAGCGTCTCCGAAGATCCCGGTGACGCGAAGAAGCTGTTGGACAAAAACCGGACGCACTCCTTCATCTTGGATCTGGAGCAGGGCTCTCAAGAGGCTCTCAAGCAGCGCTCGGTGGGGAAATTTGACCGCCTGCCCCGCAAAGAGCTTCATTCTCGAGAACGCAAAGAGAAGGAGCGCAGCCTGTCTGATGAGCGTGTCAAACTGAAACTGAAGCAGGAGAAAAAGTCTGAGCATCCGGTAGACGAGTCTCTGCAGAAGGAAGGCTCTGCTGTCAAAGTGTCCTCTGAAGAAAAAAGTGAGAAGAAGCAAAAAATCAAAAGCGAGAGGAAAACGGCAGGAAGTATAAGAGATGGCAAAGTGACTGAAGGGGGTTCTGAAGAGGGGGGCTCTAAAGATGTCAAGAAGGTGAAAGGAGGGCAGATGGAAATTGTAAAAATGGAGAAGGACAAGTTTAGGGAAAAGGATAAGGTGAAAGAAAAAACCAAAGGAGAGAAAACTTTGGTTAGAAGTGATTTCAAGCAGCTGCTTCGCCCTGATTCTGCAGGCTCCTCTGAGGATCGCTCTGACAAGGAGCCCAGTTCAGACGGCACCAAGAAAAGGGACAAACACTCCAAGGAAGGGTTGAAAAGGTCAAAGCCTCACGCTGAGGACAAGCCTGCAGACAAAACTAAATCCAAACCAGAAAGTGAGAAAGGTAGGGCTGATCAGGACAGCCAGAAGTTCCACAAGTCGAGCTCCAACACTGACAAAGATCCCAAAAGAGTCAAGCCAACGGACAAAAGAACTGCAGAAAAATCCAAAGCAAAATCCAAAGAAGAGGCAAAGGCTCTGTTCTCACTGAAGAYGGATAAAAAAGTTCAGAGTTCAGATAAAGTTGCAGGAGTTGCAGATGTCTCCAAGCCTGAAACAACAAAGGGGAAGAAAAAAGATGGAAGTCTAAAAGAACCGAAGAAAGCCTCTGAAGAAACTTCACAGGAGAAATTAGACCTCAGAGGTGCAAAGAAAAAAGTGGAGAAGAAGGATAAAGTTCCAGAAAAGAAGAGCGATGCTCAGGAAGAGACGACGATGCAGAGAGAAGACAAGCTGGAAAAGCCTGACGCATCTGTAAAATCCTCCGGTTCCTCATTGAGTCCTGAAGAGACAAAACAACCTCTTCAAGACGTGAGCTCAGAATCTGATCCCAACATCACCACAGCCACCACCTCGTTCTCGGAAGACACCTCCGATGCTTTAAGCGACATCACCCCYGAGCCAACGGAGGGCGATGCAGAGTCACGGCCCATTGAGGTGCCAGCGGTACCGACCGAGGCTGACGCCCTGCTGACTCTTATGGACGTCTGCACTTCAGCAGAGGCGAGGCTTCCACCCAGCAGCCTTAAGGAGGAAGTCACACCTGAGATGGAGCTTCAGGACGCTGACATGAAGATGAAGGAGGCAGCGCTGACTCTGCTCTCCATGGATCCTGATAGTACTCTGTCCACYAGCTTAATCCTTCAAAACACAGGGGAGGGATCAGTGCTGAATCTGCCCGACCCACAACAGATGGAAACGTCTATAGTTGAAGAAGAGCAGCTATCTCCTGTGCAGATCCAACCAGAACCTCAGACTGAGTTCAGGGCTGCTGAAACATCGGCTGCATCTCAACAAACTGCTRAGCCTGTTGATACAGCGACAGATGTTGATGGTATGTGGAATATGACAAAATAATATGTTATTAACCRTCATAGAACTAACAGAAGTTAAAACTGCATCTGTTTGTAGATGAGACCGAAAACTCTGACAGCAAAATGGACACAACTGAGGCTGAAACATCAGAGAGTGTTTCTCCACAGGTAAAAACATGTGAATGTGTATATATATTAATGTTGCAGTCAAGACCACCTAACCCAAGACCAAGTCAAGACCAAGACCAGAGTGTATCAAGACCGAGACTTTTAGTGTCTGAGACCAAGACCAGGGTAGGGTAAGACAGAGTCAAGACTAAGACCTTTAGTGGCTGAGACCAAGACCAGAGTCTAGCAAGACCATGTCAAGACCAAGACTTTTAGTGGCTGAGACCAAGTCAAGACCAAAACCAGAGTATACCAANACCAAATTGAGACCAAGACCAGAGTGTATCGAGACCGAGTCAAGACCAAGACTTTTAGTGGCTGAGACCAAGTCGAGACCAAGACCAGAGTGTATCGAGACAGAGACAAGACCAAGAYTTTTAGTGGCTGAGGACAAGTYGAGACCAAGACRGAGGGAGGGTGAGACCGAGTCAAGACTAAGACCTTTAGTGGCTGAGAACAAGTCAAGACCAAGACTGAGTCAAGACCAAGACTTTTCATGGCTAAGAACAAGTTGAGACCAAGACCAGGGAAGGGTGAGACCGAGTCAAGACCAAGACTTTTAGTGGCTGAGACCAAGTCGAGACCAAGACTGAGTCAAGGCCAAGACTTTTAGTGGGTGAGACCAAGTCGAGACCAAGACTTTGTGACTAAGAACAAGATGAGACCAAGACCAGGGTAGGGTGAGACCACGGCTGTGTCCAAAACGGTGGGCCGGGTCCTCCGAAGGCCGAATTCGTCGGCCGCATACATCACAGCGCCGCAATGGAGGCCGTCCAAAACCGAAGACTCCTCCAATGCGGCCGACAAATGCGTCCTTCCTTTGGTCCGAATCAAAGGACTGGTCCGATGGATCCTTCTCGGCCCACCATAATGCAYTGYGGCCTGACCAGAAATTTTTTTATGCTAGTAATTGTGTGAGGGYCGGGCAAAGAATTTTGGTACAGAGACAGAATGCTAACGTTAGCAAGCTAGCTTTGCTAACATCACTTAAACATAGCTTAGCTTTCTTTGTRCTTCCTTTCTAACTGACAATAAAAGTTAGACGTAGACCCCACCACCTCTGAAAGTGAAGCACTGCAGAATTTACAAATCACTGTACGCTGTCTCCAGGATGTCGTTTTACAAATACGTTCTTTATGATTCATGTAGCCAAATTGTGTCACTGAAGATTTTGCAGACATCTTCTCCAGCTCTCAGACAACCACAGCTCACTTTCTCGGAGTGCCGTGTGCGAGYGAAAGGTGGCGGGTGACAGCCGAAACTAAAATACACGATTAGCAACGAGTCRAGCTTGGATTTGAATCCGTATGTTTTACGTCTGATGAAAGCAAGGATGTTAACARATAAATTGTACTGCATTCTGGYAATTTAGTGATATTTACACTGTTGTGGTCATGAAAWAAAATACAGAGTCCTCAATTTCTAAGGCCAATATTGAGTACTACAACACTGATATATAGGTTGAAGGAAACAAAATGGATTTCAGATTTATTGAGCGGTGTTTTGTAAGAAGTTGAGAATCTTTTTTTTTGTTTTCACACAGGAGGTTGAGTTTGCTTCAAATGTTAGCTTGAAAGATGAAGAAACCAAAAGTGCTGAAGTTCCTCCTGAAGCATTGTCTGATGACAAATTGGAAGCACCGGCAGAAAAAGAAWGTGCAGGTGGGATTTTCTCTTGGCTATATACTAATCTTCCTTAATTTCTTTCTAAAGATGTCAGTTTATGAGCAGTGATGCACCTTTAATTTGTCTCAGCTTTGCATTAAACATGCAAATTCTGGCTCAGACTGTGCAGCTCGTTCAGGATTAGCATTGTGTGCTGCTGACTTCACAGCTGTTTTTTGTGTTCCATCAGAGGCTGTTGTGTCAGAAACAGAGGAGATCACTGCTGATGCAGAGGAGAAGGCTGCAGCTGAACCAGTTTCAGACATCAGTGAGCCAGGTGGGTGCCGACAGACTCGTGCAGAAATCAACTCTGTCGTTTATTTTAGCTGATTTTTTAACCCAGCGTTTTATCATAAAGAGCAAACGGAGCCAGATCCTGCAGTTACACAGACGAGCCTCGAGGTTAGTAATAATTCATGCTGCACAAACATGAACCGTTTACCTTTTTTTTACTTTTTAATGTCGTTCAGGCAGAAACAGTTTTCTCCTTCTCAACAGCAGGTCGTGGAGGAAGAAAGTGAAGAAAACCAGGCAAAGATTTATGTCTGTAAGAAGCTATCTATTCTCTTACATCAGATATGATTAAATAAGAAGACTTCTGAATTAGAATACTTTATTTTTCCTCACAACCAGGTGAAACTGAGAGTAACACAGTGGAGCAGCAGGAYGCCGCAGTGGAGGAAGTTGATCAACAGACGGTGTGTTTCAGATTAATTTACAAGTCAGCAAAGTTTTCAGGTTTTATACAAAGTGTTTATTATTGAGTTTAACTGAGTTTTATTTCTGTTCAGATGAAGGCCAACATCCCTGACCTGAGTGAGGACGGAGAAACTAAATCTGAGAGAAAATTAGTCGAACAAGTCGGTGAGTCCTGTTCTTTTTTTCATTACTATTATAAGTTTTACTTAACAATTTAACAATGACAATTTACTTATTGTGGAACTAATGTGAGTTGAAGAGGATGTTTAGTTTAGTTTTGAACTTCACCTGAAACTGAATCAGACCCAGTGTTTTATTTATGTGATTCTTTGTTTTCTTCATTGTTTTCTATGATGAATTTTTCAGACGACGTCTCCACAGCTGGCCAGGAAGATAAGAGCTCAGATCTGTCAGAGATGGTAAACCGTTTGAAACTTGTGGATGTTGAGAAAATGTCGATGTGGCATTTTCTGTTACAGTTTATTTTTTTTGTTGTTGTTTTGTGCTGTAGGAGGAGAAAACAAACAAAAGAGAAAGATGTGAACAAACACTGCCAAGTCAGGAAACTGCGACAGAGACAGAACCTGGTATTTTTTGTTTTGTTTTGTTTTGTTTTG